TATTATCATTTATTATCATTTATTATTTCTTCGGTGACGTCACTTCCACAGATCGGCACGGACGACATGTGTCTGACCTTGACCGCCGAGAGGTCAGGAATGGTGGCCAAGTGCAAGAAAGCACCCGTCGTCGTCTACGACTACTATGAGCCAAGTGAGATATTTTAGCATAGCCTTTGCCTTTCTCACCTGTCTTACTCACCTGTCTTACTCACCTGTCTTACTCACCTGTCTTACTCACCTGTTTTCCCACCTGCTTTTTTCCCACTGCCTTTTTTCACCTGTTTTTTTTTTCACTTGTCTTTCTCACCTGTTTTTCTCGTCTGCCTTTTTCACCATGTTTTTTTTTTCATCTGCCTTTTCACCTATGTTTCCCACCTGCCTTTCTCACCTGCCTTGTTCACCTTTTTTTTCACCTGTTTTTTTCTCCTGCCTTTTTTCAGCTGCCTTTCTCACATGCCCCCCCCCACCCCCAAACCGGGGCAGTTCTACTGACTGAAGTAGTCTTTAGGCAATTCCCAAAAGGGGGATATTAACACGTTCTTATGCACAGTGGAATTGGTAATGGGCTGATTTATCAATATCATGCTCATACTGTGTCGGAACAACATAGGGGAACTGCTGCTTTTTCTTTCCTCATCCTTACTATCGTCATTTTTCCTCTACTTCTTTTGTATGTTTGTCGCTCACTTGTAAACTGCTATTTCCAAGGTGCCCCTTGATAGTCAAAGCAGACTTTGTGCTGTTGAGGCTAGAGAGGTGAGCAGAGTAAGCTTGATTCCCTGTATGGACTTCTTTGTTGACATTAACCCCTTGGCGCTCATATGACCTTATGCAGTTGCAAACGCCGTAAAACCTTACCAAACCAAAAGAACATGTCTGCACCCTTTCACACATGTTTTTACCACATCATGTACTGACTTACTTCAGGGTTGTTGTTTTTTTTTTCAACATGAAGCCGCGCTCTGTTCTGAACCCAGAAGCTCAGAATAATCAGGATTTAGGTAAAATTAGGATCATGAGGACAGTGCTCAAAAGGTCGATGGTCTCCGAAAAGGTCACAGGGGATAATCTAACGGGGCTGGGTGGTGGGTATGGCTGAACTTTCTAGATCGATCTGTCT